AATAACACCTCTACAAAAATATCTAGTAATACCCTACAGAAATATTTAGTAGTAACACTTATACAGAAATATCTAGTAGTAATGTCTCTGCAAAAATATCTAGTAACTCCCTTCAAAAAACATCTGATAATGCTCTCTCAAAAAAATATCTGATAATATCTTCTAAAAAATGTCTGGTAATACTCTCTAAAAAATGTCTGGTAATTCCTCTGAAAATATGTCTAGTAATTTCTCTGAAAATATATCTGGTAATAGTTCTAGTATGAATCTGATATTTATCAATTATTTGTATTAAATTTTTAATTATTTTTTTTAAATACAGAATTTGAATCAGTTGCTGCTAGTGATAAATATGATAATACAAATAATATGACTAGGTTAATAAGAGATAAAGATAAATCTATTAGTAAAGATAATTATAAATTTGATAATATATTATTAATTATTGTAATAGTAATATAATTTTAATTATATTTTTCCAATATTTCAAATAGAAATATAGAATTTAATAATAATTCACAAGGTATTATTTAGTATTATATAATTGATATTTCTAATTAATTATTTTAATTCTTTAATACTAATTATTTTTATAATTTAGAATCAAGTGAATATAATACTGATATTCATTCTTCTAATATTAGTAGAACTACTAGACTATATTATAGCAGTAGTCATTCAAATAGTAATGTTACTTCTAAAAACTTTCAGTCTAGAAAATTAAATAGATTCATCTAATATATTATATAATTAATTATATAAATATATAATATTTTATGATAATAAAACTATTAGAATTAAGAAAATACTATTAATAAATATTAATAAATAGTAATATATCGAAATATATACTAAGATTTATATATATTATAATTCTTTCATATATAGATCTGCCAAATATCTGTTAAATAACAGGTTATAAAAGTGTATATAAAAGATAAATATTGAGTTATTATTAGATTCTTATATCTTTCTAATATTTATCTTTTATATACACTTTTATAATCTATTATTTAATAAATATTTAGCGAATCTATAGCTAAATAAAAGTAAAATAAAAAATGTATATCAGTATAATATTTAAGTTGTATATCAGAAGTATAAAGGAAGAAAAGTATTGTATTATTTTTTTTCTTTTATACTTCTAATATATATCTTAAATATTATACTAATATGCATCTTTTATTTCACTTTTATTTAGCTATAGATCTGCTAAATATCTGTTAAATTACAGGTTATAAAAGTGTATATAAAAGATAAATATCAGGTTATTATTAGATTCTTATATTATTCTAATATTTATCTTTTATATATACTTTTATAATCTGTAATTTAACAGATATTTAGCAGATCTTTAGCTAAATAATAGTAAAATAAAAAATATATATTAGTATAATATTTAAGATGTATATCAGAAGTATAAAAAAAAAAAATAATACAATACTTTTCTTTCTTTATACTTCTAATATATATCTTAAATATTATACTAATATGCATCTTTTATTTTACTTTTATTTAGCTATAGATCCACTAAATATCTGTTAAATAATAGATTATAAAAGTGTATATAAAAGATAAATTTTGGGATAATATAAGAATCCTGATATATACATTTGATATATTTATTTGACTTATGATAATCTTATATTTATAATTTTGTTATAATTTGAAATATAATATATTTTAAATTTTCATATTAAATATTTGAATTATTTCAATATATTGCAAATTATTTCAAAATATTTTGAATTATTTCAATATATTGCAAATTATTTCAAAATATTATGAATTATTTTAATATATTACAAATTATTTTGATATATTACGAATTATTTCAAAATATTATGAATTATTTTAATATTTTGTGAAAATATTTCAAAATTATTCAATATTTTATAGATATTTTATAAAATAACTTTCATTTTTAAAAAAAAAATTATTTTTAAAATTTATTATTTATTCTATATTTATTTTGAAATATTTTACAAATATTTGAAACTTTTATTAAAATAGTTTGAAAATTTTTTAAAATATTTTAAAATAAAAAATTTTGAAATATTTCATGTTAATTATAATTTTTTTAAAAGATTTCAAGGTATAATACCTTTCATAAGATTTTGTTTATATATTTTGTTGATATAGCTATTACAAATACATATAGCTCTTATGATACTGATATATATTCTTATAATATACAATAAGCTAAATATATTAGAACTAATTACCAACTTAACTACAATACTAAATATGCTAAAATATATACAATTTCATTAATATAAGCTACTGAGAATTTATAAACTTAACTTCAACTTATATTTAATTATACTAAATACTCTACTAAACAAAACAAAAATATTATTAAGTATTAATAAAAAGCTAACTCTATCATAGCCACTAAATTATTTCTACTGTGCAGACTATTTCCTGCAAAACTACTCTTACAATATATATATAATATGTCTTAGTAGTCATAATATAATAACAACAATTAGAAAACAGTGTAAACAAATTATAGCTGTTACTAATAGTATCTAATAGTATAATTAAAATTAAAATATATAATAGAAGAAAATAGTATTAGTAAATTAGAAACTTACTCTATAGTGTCTTATGATTGATAACCTACTTACAACACTTTACACAAATTTTAGAAACTCAAAAATAAAAAACTTTAAGATAAAAACTCTAGTAGATAAGCTTTCTAATTATTTTAAACTATATTACAGAAATCTGAAAAAACATAACTATATATGCTTAAGATGTAGAATAGAATCTGAAATGATAGTTCATCTACTTACTTATAGATACAACTCTCGTATCTTAGAATAAATTATTACAAAAGCATTAAATTACTTAGCAGATATAAAAGAAATAATACTAAATAACCAGAATATCTTTATTAACAAATTTATATATATACATATAACAAAAGATCTCTCATTAGGTTATATTACTCAAGAAATACTTATATCAACTGACAATATCTTAATACAGCTCAAATAGATACCAAGCTCTACTACAATATTATTACAGAAATATATAACAATATTTGGATCTCTAGTTGTACATATATATACTCAAAACTATTAGAATATTATATTCTAACACTCCAATTAGCAAAAGAAAATATGAATAACTATCAAGCAGATATATTATATTAAATAAATAATCATATAGAAAAAATATACTATCTCTATTTATAATTTTAAAGACTAGAAGTCTGATAGCTATACTAGCAAAGTATAGGTTGAAAGTAAACTAGCCTATACTTCTACCTCTCTTAGAATAGTTAATAAATATATATAAATAATTATTAATAAAGAGTTAGAAGAAAGTCCTTATTTTAAAAAAAAGAAAAAAATTTATTATATATTTTAGCTTCTTGCTAGTTTTTTATTTAAATAGTTTCTAACTATTTTTTTTTTTAAAAAAAAACTAAATTTAATAACAAATATTATTTGTATCCAAAAACCTCAATAAGTTTTTTTGCTACTTCAGGTCTATCTGTGTATATATAACTAATAATAGATATATCAGAATATTTAAATTCTCAACAAATTCATAATTTTATTATAAATATCTTTTGATTAAGGAAAATGCTTCTTTAATTAAATTAAAATCTAATATATATAGAAGAAAAAATTCTATATATACTCTAAAAGCATATAGATATTTATATAATCTTTTATTGTGATAAATATATGCATTATCTAAAACTAAAATACTTTTAGAATAAGGATACAATTTATTTGTAATAACTGTATATATAAATATTAGTATATAGTATAATATTAATAGTTAAATTTTAAAAAAAATCATATAGTACCTACTACTTAATTTATAATAAATTTTTTAAAACTAAGTTTTGTATAACTGCCTTCTGCAATATCAGCTACAATTATTTCTTGTAAAGTTAAAGCTAAACAGATCATATATCTTTTCTCATATACAAATACTACATTTTTTTCTTGCCAAGGTATTTATTAAAGAATATTTATAGCTTCTAGATATAGTCTGCTTATCCTTAACAAATTCATCTACAAATACAAATTGCTCAAACTGATAATATATACCAACATGTACTATAAAGATGCTTCTAACAGGCTTATTCTGTTCTTTCACTTCTTTATGAAGTTAAATAATAAGACATTATATTAGATACTGCAAATACTAAAATCAAATTTCAAAAAAAAAACTTTTTTTCATATAATGCCACAGTATTCTAAAGACCTCCATAATGTTGAAATTGATACAGACTTTCCTGTACATCATTCCATCTCATAAACAAGTTCATCTAAATACCAATTGACCTTTTCTTCAACTACTTTTTGTAAAACCTAAATATATAAAATTTAGTATTAGAATAAATTATAAAGCGTAACTAGTTTGTATAATGTCTATTGTTAGAGTTTTAGTTTGTATAAAGGCTGTGTGAGGCTCAAGTGATAGCACAAAGCCTCTAACAGGTCAGGCCTCTTAAGATCGTAAAATGTATAAAAGCACAGACTGTCTCATTTAATAAAGAGAAGAGGAACTCACGTCCTTCTTGATAAAGTAACATAAAACAATGATCTGCCTTTCCTTTAATCCCAATTATCATTAATGCTTGAATCCCACCTGGTTAAGTGAGATGTCATCGCGCCCCAACCACGTTAACTATTGGAGCTAAACCGTGCACTGTTACTTGCTCTCCCAATTTACAATAGTAACACTATACATACATTTATATCATCTCTACTAAAGGTTTTTCGTCACCTAAGACTTGACGCCATGGATGAACTACTGTCGGTATATTCTTAGTACTTTTTTCACCAATGATTTACTTAGACACAAAAACGATTCAATTTCCTTTTTAGAATATCCATTATAGTGCAAATAAACTATGCGTCACTTAATATCTTCACTATAAGGTCGTGGCATCTAAAAATCGAAATTTTGAACAAAAAACCAAGAAATTTTATTATTACTACTAATTAACCAATTACAAAATTCTGTATAGTAATGGATGTTATGCTAGAGAATTGGAATTTGGCAAGGAATCTTTGGAATTCAGATTTTTTTAAGTGGGAATTTTTAAAAAAATGACGAATTTAAGAGAATTTTACTGATTTCCGTGTGATGGTCATAGTAATTTGAAAAGCACTGTAATATGACATGTAACACGTTTTGTTTGTTTCACAGACAACACTTCAGGTAGAACAATAAATCTTTTTTACAAGTATTCTTTTAAAAACCATTAGTGTATTATGCAATTTTTCCAAGCATTTTCTAAACAATTTCTTGCATTTTAAATTACATTTGGAATAGGCACAGAAAATATTTAGTTAATATAGAAAATATCTAGAAAAGTTGCATATTATACCAAAGTTTTTTAAAAGAATACTTAATGGTAATAATGTCGTTAGAATCCCAATATTTACAACTTAAATAATCATATTATTCTAATACCCGGATAGTCATTATCAAATTTTATTTCAGTATTTAATATCCTAATAAAAGACATAATCCATCAATTAAAAGAATAATTAATCTCTTCAACTTTTAAAAGCAAGAAATTAGTTAAAGAAGTAAAACTATCAGAAATGCCCGATATATTGCATCAATATCATGTGATAAAGTGACTTTATTCACATCTTTTCTAATTATATAATGTATTTAGAAAAACTTTTTAACATAATATGTAGCAAATAATCTAATAACTAAATTTAATTTTATTGAATAATTATTTGGGAAAAGTTTTAGATTTGTTTCCAATAAAAGCAACAGCTTGTGACCACAAAATAGATTGATCTCTAATACTTTGTTCAGTATAAAATAGTCTAAAATCAGCAGCTTTATACGTAAATTCCATTAAACTATTATGATTTTTTATACTATAAAATTCAGAAGAAGGAATATTAAGTTTTCCACCAAAATTAAAAGGTTTAGGCAATAAAGTATTATTTTGTAAATTTAATTTACATATAATATTAAATATGTGAGTAGAATCAATAGCAATTCCGCCTTGACAAGAAGCATATGATAAGGGTTCTCCAACAAATCCACCAACCGCTACAGTATTCACTTTATTAACTTCAGCAGCACCTTCCGCGATAAGAGCGCAAGAAGATCCACATAAACTATTCGTTAAAATAATTAAATCTTCAGATTTCCAAGGAAGAGGAGTTATTAAGTGTCGAGATATAAGTCTTTTATAATTATTTGGATCATTTAAAAAAAATCTGTTTGAATAATGTTCTTTAACACCACCACGTGTAATAATATTATTACCAATAAGTTCATTTGCAGAGTGAAAATGTTTTAGAGTTTTTGATGAAATAATTTCGGTCATATTTAATAGATCTTGTAATATAGGTTTTAATTGTTCAGTGATTCTGACATCCATATCAAAAGAAGATTTCTTATTATTAGGAAATAGTAGTTGATTGATAAAATTGCTGATCAGAACAAAGCCACCAAAATTGTCGAATAAATCAAGAACGACCTTTTTAATAATATAATATGTGTAAAATAAATATACAAAAAAGATTTTCTTGTAATTTTTTTGTTATAATTATAATAATTATAGTTCCTTACCTTTTTAACACCTGTATTTGCCAATGCTTTAAATCCTTTAATAATTTTTAAGGCTAAAGTATGATTTAGATGAACATCTTCAGTTTTAATTTTAACAACACCGAAATTTTGTTTTTTGAAAAAGCTAATAAACTCTGTAATTTCATAAATTAATTTAACATCTTCATTAGACTTTACGTCATAAGTGTTCTTGTGTGACTTTGTAATCTCATCAAGCTTATCAAAAAGTGGTTTATAATCTGTTGTAGTATTTTTACAAATGTTGGCAAAATAAGTATTCGAATTATTGAAATTTTCTAAAATTGATTGAATACCAATTGCATTCCAACTTCTTTTAACAACTTTAATATAATTATCACATTTTAAAGTATAAATCATTATTGGTGACCCTGGTAAATCAATACGAGTAGAGAATGTAATTCCTGAATAATTAACATCAATAGCTGCATTAAATCGTACTCCAAGATCTCTTGATATGAAAGTAGGAAATTCGGAAATAACTTGGATCGCCCGGCGACCATCAATATGAGTTACTTCACAATTATTATTAGTTGGATCAATGGTATCTTTAAAGACTTTGATTTTCTAGGCGTATTATAAAAAATTATTTATATATAATTATATTAAAACATCACTCATATAGTTTAAAATGAAAATTTACCTGTACTCCTTCATCAGTAACCACGGAATATAATGTTAAATTCGTATAAAAAACGAATGAAGAAAAACAATTAGTTGTATAACTTGTGTGTGCATCTCTCAATTCAAAAATAAGTTTTCTAACACCATCCTATCATTATAATAAAAAAAAAAAAATTAAAAATAATAGCATCATAACAAATAAATATATGAATTATAATTGACTATAAAAATTACCATAAATTGGAATAAATTATCATATTGCTTTCTTTTTAAAATCTCCAACTGAACCAGTAAATCCATCGGCCTATAATCGAATCCCTTTTGTGGAGGTTCTCTTGCTTTATACAAAAATGAATAGAATCCATGAAATAATACGTTCAACGTATCTATTGTCTAATTTTAGTGTTAGAATGTTTAATTAGTTGTTATAAAAGAAAGAAAGAAATAAAGTTGTTATAAAAGAAATAAATAAATAAATATCATTATATAATACCTGAAAAGCAATTTCTTTATCGAATGGAAAACTCTCATAACAATCTTTTACATCTATATAACTGAAAATATTTGTATTTTTCGTGACATATTCTTTGTGAATTCTTGCACATCCATCATTTTCATAATATCGTGGAATTTGTGAAATTCGATGGGATCGAACATTCATAAAAAATGCAAACAAGAATGAGAGTATCGCTGCAAAGAATCTCATACTAACCAAAAAAAAAAAAAATTTTTTTTTTTTTTTTTTTTGATAAAAATAAAAATTTTTGTGTTATTGCAATTATTTTCCTTTTATATAACCATGCTTAAATTTATTAAATATTTGTATTAAAAAATAAATGAAATAAAGGAAATGTCACTCACTCATTTTTTTAAAATGTTTGACATTTATATGAATAATTATGTTGTCATTTTAATGCGCTCATTTCGAATTCGAAATATAGTAAAATACGTGTATACATGAAATTTTGTTTAAATTTCGTTACTATTGGTAATTCATAATGCGGAGGTGCATTAATATTAAATTCATGTCAAAAAAGAAAGAAATACGTGCATTCCCGCATGGTCCGCCTTACCTAGAAAGGAAATGTACCTTTTGTTGATTGCTGAGTTTAAGCGTTAATAAATACAGATTAACAGGGATGATAATTATTATTTAATATATTTCTAAGCGTATCATTTAATAGTAAGGAGATAATATTATGCATAATGAAAGTGCCAATAAGAAATTAGATAACACTTAAGATTTTCCTATTGTTTGCTTTAAATTCAAAGAATATCATTTGTAAAGCTTCGAAATAACGACTATGCAATAAGTATGTAATTCGCAATTTATTGAAAATTTCAATAATTTAAAATTATTGTCTTGATTCACATTATAATAATTTCCACAAACTAATTGCCAATTGAAAAAATAGTATATAATCCCAATAAATTAGTACGTACTAGATTTTGAGATTATGCAATAAAACTACATGAACGTTTTTTGTAATTATCACAAAATTAAGAAACAATAAATCATCATCCCTGATCCAGACGTAACTTTGGAATGAATGAATGCAATAACTTATAATTTAAATAGAAAAGAATTCAAAATGGTATAGGAATGAACGAAATACTAACCATCAATACGCGTAGGGTATAAAAATGACAAATATAAAATAAATACGATCAAAATACTTTATTTATTCTTTTAATTGTCCCATATTCAAAATGTAATATTGAAGTCATTTTACTTAATGGCGGTTACATAGTTTCAAAAGCACTTTCTATCCAATTAACTCACTACACTAAAAAAAACTATATTTCGCTATTAAATTTCTATAATTTATCTATTTACATATATTCGAAATATCTTAATGGTGCCTAAAATTACTAAGCAAACGTCCAAGGTTAACAAGATTTTTGCAAGCCTAATTGCTTGTACTAATATACAATCGGTAACAAGAAAAGGTAAGTCTATATCAACTGAGAATACATATTATTAATCGTAATCATTATAAACTACCGGTAAGAATCCACAATTCAAAGAAATAAATGACCCATTCTCAAATTTATAAGATGATTTAATAAACAACATTTACAACGCTGGAGAATTCAATGAGCGGATGAAATACATTCTTCAAATTCTATACTGTCACGGTTCCCCTCGTAACATATTTCCCGGGGCTTAGTTGGTCACGATTTTTTCTTATTGTTTTTTTTTATTTTTTTATTTATTTTGTTGTTTGTTTGTTAACTACAATGGTAAGAACAATATGCGAGATATATCTGATAAATATATCCATAAAAATAAGAAACTGGTTATCGCTAGTGTCGTTGTAGCCCATTGTCCACCAAATTGGATAACCAGTAGGGAACAAACCCTATAAAAATTTTTTTCCGAATATTTCAATTATTTCTCCATATTTTTCCTGAAAACTCAACATGATTGATAAAGCTGAATAATTTCCATGATTTAAGGTTATAAATTCCGTGAATATGCAACATTTATGGAAAAAACATGGAATATAAAACACGGATCGACTTTTTTTATAGGGCGGTCTAAATTGGGTATAATTTATGGAAGTGAAAGAAAATAAACATTGTAGTATAGATTGTAGTATAGATTGTAGATAGAATTGACGGTATATTGTAGTTACATATTGTCGAAAGAAAAACGTATTTAAAGATGTCGTCTTCGCCCTAATAAAAATTCCTCGGACTTCGATGTCATGAATATAAAAAAGATATTAGGAATCGAATTCTCAAATGTTGAAATTGAAAGTTTATTGAATAATTGATTTTCTTTTATTATTTTAGTTTGCTTTTATTTATAACCGTTTTGCTTCGTTAATTAACCGATACATTTAAACTCCCGAATTACATTTTTTTTTTATATAAACTAACCCCCGTACCCTGAATAAATTAAATTAATCAGTGACGCTATCCTTAGTATTATTGGCTGAATCGATCCCCTTAAATTAACCATCCGAGATCCAGATTTAACTAAAATTCCGTTATCTCACGTGAACAAGCTACTAATCAAATATTTCTATAAGTAATCGTACTTATTAAAGACTCCTATTTTCGAACATTTGACACATAAAATAATCTTTAAATTAACTATTGGAGTTAAACACAGCACAACTTGTATAACGCTCTCCCAAAATAATAGTAACAATACGATCGACTAAAAATTTTTGTAAAATGAATATGCAGAAATGCAGAAACTTCAAAATAAGGTAAAAGAATAATACTTGCAGATTTTATTTGCCAATATGACTTGAAGTTATTAATCACGGACGAAATAATAAAGTCAATGAACAATTATCCAGCAAAAGTTCTTTTTGAATATTTCATTTATCCTTCTGAAAAAGAGTTAAAAGAAGTAGTAGTATATCATGTAGAATTAATACTTTCTCGTTATGGCAAAAATTTAACTGAATAAAACAGTTTGTTATTTTTTTCAGAGAACTTATATGCAAAGATCAACATAATATCCACATACCATACTCCAACTTATGGTTATAAATATCTCGCAAAATAAACTATATTCTCGTAAAATACAAAAAAAGTTTTAAAGCCGCAGGTAGGGCATCATGCTTACGATTACTCACTTAAAAAATCAAAGTTGTGGAACTTTTGATAGGGATTATAAGTATAGGTATACTCTTAAGGTATTGGAAATGCACAAATTTGCTGAGGCGATTAGTGAGGCAATAACTACCATTTTACTTTACAGAAACCTCTTTTGTCTTTGCTGCAAAGCTCGACGCAAGTCTAGCCCTTAGTTAATCCCTTCCACCCACCCGAGTAAGGCAGGCTTAGGCAGGTAAGAATATGGTAGCCCGGATGAACAATCCTGATTAGTGTTGGGCATGCGCGGGATTTTTAATATGATCCCCAATTCAGGCCAGCCGGTCCGCATTAACATAATTCTAAGAAACCTACAATGTAATCCTATCCCGCGCATCACGCGCGTAACCCGCATTTCGCGCGGAATATTTTGGAAAACCGTGATTTACTCATCACTAATCTTGATATAACACAGTTGTGGTGGAAAAATAGGTAATAGAGAAATGACTGTAAAGAAAGAGAATATTAAAATAGGATGCGACCACGTAATGCAACGGGGCGATATCCCATTCGTGTATTCCGTAGTATTGTTTGTTAGTAGGATCGAGTGACAAATAATTATTATCGCGATTTGCAAAATAATGTATTTCTATCAAATTTTGTATATCCTATGATAGCTCCTGAATTTCATTCATTTGCACGATTTTGAATTGATTTCTTATTCAAATATTTATGATAATACAAAATTAATATTTTATGATTTTTCTTTTTCTATTTTATTTACGCTAAAATCTGGTTAAACACGATCTGTGAAACTTGAATTTAAAGATATCTTCAGTTTAAAATTTTTATTAACGTTAAAGTGATGAAAATTTATGTAACACTAGATCTTAATATTTAATTGGCTAGAATAATACGCCTAAACTCATAAAAGCAATGTAAGATTTTCGACGAAAAGAAAGTTCATCTGCATAAATACTATAAAAATGGGTAAATAAAATGATCTAAAACTTTAATAATAATAATAATAAAATGCATGACATACTAAATCTTTATTTATATATTAGATTTCGTGATAAAAAATGAAAGTGGTGAGATTTTACTAGAAAACCGTGGATTAAGTTATTGCACGACAAATGAATATGAAAAATCACTTTCCGAATTAAATAAATTTTTAAAACATGTACCATCTAGTATAATTGCATTAAGAAATCGTGCATTAATTAATCTTTCAATGGACTTTTATGAAAAATCTCTTAAAGACTTGGATAAATTATTAATAATTAATCCAAACGATACACTTGCATTATGTTATCGTGGATTGGTTTATCGTATGATTGGAAGATTTGATGAATCACTTGTTGACTTAAACAAATCTCTAGAAATCGAACCAAATAACGCGATTATATTAAGTTACCGTGGTGCAACTTATTATGAAATGGATATATATGAAAAATCTCTTACGGATTTAAATAATTCATTGAAAATTGATCCATATAATGTGATTTTCTTAAACAATCGTGGGGCAATTTATCGTATGCTAGGATTATATAAAGAATCTCTCAAAGATTTAAATAAGTCATTAGAGATCAGACCTAATAATGCATTGACATTGACAAGTCGTGGATCAACTCACTATAATATGGGAAATTATATGAATTCATTAAAAGATTTTACAAAGTCTTTAGAAATAAAGCCAAAAAATACATTAATATTACGAAATAGAGGAAAGACATATTATAAAATTGGCATGTATAAGGAAGCATTTAGAGATTTAAATGAAGCATTTGAAATAGAATCAGATAACATATTTTTTATAACGGAAAAAGACATCTATAAAAGAATTGGTGGATATGAAAAAGCACTTGCGGATTTTACTAAATCATTAAAAATTGATCCACATGATGTATTAGAATTAAATAACCGAGGTGCAACTTGTCGTGTATTGGGTAAATGTGAAAAATGGCTTGCAAATTTCGAAAAATTAGAAAAATATTTAAATTCAGAATCAGATAGTGAGCGAGAACTGAAAAGTCAAATCAGATATGAAGAAGCACTTTCGGATTTAAGTAAATCATTGGAAATTGAGCCCAATAATGCAGATACCTTAAAAATTCGAGGAGAAACTTATTATTTGATGGAAAAATTTGA